TGTCAGAATCATGAGAACTACAGTGTCAAGGTCTACACATGTGTACGTATAAATACAATATATAGGAGTGATTCTTTCGAAAACTGACATGACATTTTGACTAGTCTTTAATATTGTTTACACTGTTTTATAAAAATCACTCGTACACTTACATTTTATACAATGTGTTACTCTGAAAGAAAAGCTTACTCATTTTATATTAATTTAGTTAGTATTAATTTTTCTTCATATAAAATATATAGATTCAATACTTTACAATGTAGATTGTGACAAGACTCAATATGTATTTTAACAACTAATATAAAGAGAGAAGGGCCATGAGCCAATAAATTATAGATATTCGCAAATTCTCGCAAGTGCTGAGATGCGCGTATATCTCTTTATATAGAATCTCGATTTAATAACTTACATCGGCGTATAAGGGAGGCTTCCATTACAATACCTTACTGATGAGTCCAGTAGTGAAAGCCGGGACGAAACGCAAAAATTAGGTGATATTCTTTGCAATATATTGTATTAGAGTAAATTAAAAGAATTTAACGAATTTATTGGCTCATGGCCCTTCAATACTTTACATTAAATTTTATAGGACCGCGAGGATCAAAAGCAATGTCTTATCTTATAAGTGATTGGAATCATGACTAGCAAAATTAATGTTAAATATTTTTAAAGGTTATTATTATAACTAAATTTCGCTCGTTTTTTGCAGTACAAAGTACATATAAAGAAAAAACCGGTCTTAATTGAGCAGTAATACATTTTTTTTTATAAAATAAGTGTGTTTTAATTGGTAACATTTGTGCGCTTAACAGAATCAGACGAATACGAGATGAGGGTAACCACTATAGCTGAAATATTGTCCCACAGATTACATAATTTTATTTGATTTCATACGATTTCATCTGATGAAAAATAATTTTCTTTACTATATTTATGAATTAAGTTATTTAGTAAAATAAACATATATATCTGAAATTATACAATTATTCCTTGTAATTGCATATGTAATTATCGAATTATACATAAGGATTTCATATGAATCTTATATACTGATTTCAGGAACTCTATCCCACGATTACATTAAAAATGGTTATCCCCTCGGACGAATATTTAAAGACGAATACTTATACTCTTCTTTTACACATTTTGTTATAAAATTTCCACATTTACACAAAAATAGGAGTATTTTATAATTTCTTCGAAATAATTTGTACTACATCACATGTCACTTAAGATTATGCTTTCTTCTCTATGACTTGTAATTGTGACATTACGTCTTTAAGAATCGCTGCAGGAAGGACCCGTGAGTTTCGAAACATCAATTTTAATTATTATATTTTTTTTTATTCTTTATATTTTTGATTTTATATTGTATAGAGTATTAGATCCAAATAATGATTGAACCAATGAAGTTCTATATGTACGCTCAGTCGATGGCCACCGCTCAAAAGTTGTGTAACAAAAGAATTGTTTTATTTTTTTCTACGTGTTCTATGAACGGAGATATTGCGATTCAAGTTCTAAAATACGGTTTCGCGTTTGACAAGTTGACATATTTTACATTTAACAGCATATATTTCACGTTGTCATTTGTATGATGCTGAAGCTAGTGACTATACTTTTCTAGCGGCTATATGCGAGACGCCAGGAGCGAATAGCAGTACGGAACCACCGATTATAAAAGATATTATATTTACGACGTATTTCCATAAAGAATTCATTGAAACTAATAACTCACAATACACGGTGATAAACGAGACAGGATTAAGTTAAAAATATTGTAAATATAATAATAAAAATGCATTATAAAATATATATATATATAAATAATATAAAAAATATTAATTAATATGAAATCTTATTGGACCGTGAAAGTTTAGAGTAATAATTAAAATAAATAAACGGTTTTTATCGAGTTAAATAAATTTAATGTTTTACTTAAATTTTATATAAATGGTTTATAAAATATTTTTGGATTATGTTCTCATTTATATTATAAAATTACTTATTACTTATATTAAGATTACGTTGTTTTACATCGTTGAAGTCGGATGGTTTTAATATTGCAGTTTTGCTTATAAAGGACTTTTGCTAATGATATGTTGAGTACCTAGGCCGGTATTCATAGTCAATTCTTATATTCAAAACCGTCTTAAGTTCAGTCTTGAGGAGTTACGAACCAATCAGAGACCGGTATTAATAGTCAGTTCTTATTTGAAGACTGTCTTAAGTAATGTCTTAAGATGCTAAAATGTAGTCCTCTGATTGGTTCGTAACTCCTCAAGACTGAACTTAAGACAATCTTGAATATAAGAACTGACTATGAATCTGCCGCTTTAGCATCTTAAGACATTACTTAAGGCAGTCTTGAAATAAGTATCGACTATGAATACCGGCCAAAGGGCTGCATTCGCGTCTTAAAATATCACTTAAGACAGTCTTCAAATAAGAACTCATGACTATGAATGCCGGCCCTAAATATCGTTCTGTGCTCTCTCTCTTCTTTTATCAACTAGCTTTTATATAACTAACAAGAGGTCTGTTCGCGTTGCTTGCACTTTTTGCACTTACCATCTTTGCTTTCTCTCTTTTTAACGCCGAATATATATCTATCTCATTTTAAGTGCAAAATTATTTGAGGATTTCTTGCAACGCGAACAGACCTATATTATTTCTTCTAAATTAATAATGCATTATAGACACACACGGCAGCCGCTTACGTTCTCAACTGTGGTTAATTCGTTTAATGATTACGTTTACGCCGGTCTTACGTTTTTCTATGTGTCATGGTCTTAAGCAGTAAGGAAATCAACGTAATGGGCCTTCTACAATAAGCCGTAAGTCACAAATCATAAGTCATAAGCTAGAAATGGTCGTCAATTTTTAGTTTCTTACTTCCGATTTATGATTTATGGCTTATTGTAGAAGGCCCATTAAGCTGGGCCCACAACCTCGCTTTAAGAAGCTCTAAGCCGTAAAGCTGTAAGAAATTGACCAATCACAGAAAACTATTTTTCTCGCATTCAACTATGATTGGTCAACTTCTTACGGCTTTATGGCTTACGGCCTCTACTGTGATTGGTCAATTCGCTTATTCGGGCTGCCGCACACACCTTCCGTAAGAATTAGCCAATCACAGTCGAAAATTCTTTTAGGCCTGGGGCTCTATTCTTGAAAAGAAACGTATACGAAAGTCTAGGGAAATACTATAGTATACGTTACGTATACTATAGTATTTTCCTAATTTTTCGTATACGTTTCTTTTCAAGAATAGACCCCCTGATTGCACCAATGTGATTTCGATTTTAAGTGAAACTTAAACTGTCTCTGTCTCCCTTTCGGCTTTAAAACGAGATAGATAGAGTTTTAAATCTTGCTTAAAATCAAAAAGTGTTGGTGCAACCGGGCCAACTCTTAATTCTGATTGGCTGAAGGCCTCTTTCACCAACGCCGATTAACTTAATCGACGATTAGTTTATTGGAATTGACCAATCGCGTCTGTCGTCAAAACTAAATGATAAATGCGATTGGTCAATTCCAATGGACTAATCGTCGATTAAGTTAATCGGCGTTAGTGAAAGAGGCCTTGATACTTACAGACCTTACGGTACAGCTTATGATTACTGTTATAGAGGGTGTGTTCCGATATAGACTGCCAGTGCTGGCAGTACTGAAAAATCGTTCCATTATTAGTGCGCAGCGTACTGCGACAGTATCTAGTAACATCAATAACCTCATAAATGGTAGCCATGTTGTCACTGATGCGACTACTGCAGGGTATTGATAAAAAAACTTTTTCCCTAGGATGAAAAATGAAAAGTGAAAATTTTTACCATTGTAGTTAATGGAGAAATTTTTCACTTTTCATTTTCCATCCTAGGGAAAAAGTTTCATGATCGATACCCAGCTTTCGAGACAGTCGCAGTGTAGCACTTTAACTTGTTCTAAAATACGATGTTACAGCAGTGCTGACAGTACCACAGTAATTTTGAGACAGCTGCGGCAGTACGCTGTTATGACGTCACGTTTACTGCACTGCCAGTAAAAACGGAACATATCCGGAAGGTGTATGCGACAGCCTTAAGGCCATTCCGTACAAAAATTTTAGTAGTAATCGTAACATCTTAAGCAAATCGGCCAATCACAGTTAAGCGTATTAAAATGTGAGATCGTCATCTTGATTGTGATTGGTCGATTTGCTTAAGTCTTACGATTCTACTAAAATTTGTGTACGTGTGATGGCCTTTAATTGGTCTGTTTTCTGTTCCTGCACTAAACTGAACTTTAACTTTTTCTTTCTCGCTTTCTAAAAATATTAAACATATACCTATCTCACTTTAAGCTCTAAAAGTGTACACTAGTTCAGCCACAGAAAACAGCCTTTATGCCTAATTCATACTGGATGCGATGGGCGATGAACGATGAGCGATATCCAATAGAAGCTTTGCTTTAGCTCACACGACGATGTAAAGCAGAGTTCTTATTGGTTATCGCTCGTCGCGCATCGCTCATCGCGCCTAGTGTGAACTAGGCATTAGGCCTGTTCTTTTTCTCTGCACTGTGCCCACAGTGCAATAGGTTGAAGTGAAACAGATATACGTTTGTTTCACTTCAACTTATTGCACTGTCTGAACTGGTGCAGACAGTGCAGGCAAAAAGAACAAGCCTTTTATGAGTTGTTAACTACGTTTGCTGCGGTGTTGCCGAGTTTTCTGGTCGCCGCATATCGAGTTTAAAGCAGTTTAAAGGGCAAAGGCGAGTGATTCGCTTCGTCACGGAGCTTTAGATCTACAGCTTTGTGTATGATGGCGAGTTCTTTCTATTTGCGTTTGAACAAGTAAGGTCCTCGCGTCATATCCGATCGTGACGGGAAGCCGCGACGCATTATCGTCACGAACACGAGGGTGTAAACCACGATCGTTTCGTAGCACATACGTGACCGTGAGTCTGGTATTTAATTTATGCTAGTGTATGTACTCAATATTCGTTTGATATCGCGAGATCTTATCGGATTGAAATCGACTTGGGTTGGTTCTCTTCTCGACAGAAACCGTTTCGGTTAGTCTCTTTCCGGAAACCAGAATAGTCCCACCCCTTCAGTGAGTAAGTAAACTTAAAAGCAAACTATTTACGAGTTGCGTTTCTAGGTTAGATGGACGAATGTGTTGGGAAAGCGCGCGATTGATCGATTTGGCAATCTCTCAGACACGGTATCGTTGGCACCTGGTACGAGAGACGTTACAACTCGATAATTGTCACCTTTGACGTTCCGTCTTCGAATCTGGATGATCGCCACGGCATGAAACGTCAATTCTCATGGTGCGAACTGTAACGTTGGCTGCGTCGTGATCGTAGAGCATATCCTTTAGCGAGTTCTACGTTAAAATTGAACAGGACGATGTAAGAAACTCCCTGAAATTAAAGATCTTGTTAATGCCCATCCTGGAAAGTATCTGTTGTATTGGAGCTTCGAATAATCTAGAACAATGGATAAAATTGTCAGAATGTCCCAACTGAAGTATTTATTTGAGGAGTTTCCCGGGAATATGAAATTTTGTTTTGCTTACGGATCAGGTGCATTCAAACAAATTAACAATGATGGCAATAATAATATGTTGGATCTTATATTTGTTGTATGCAATGCTAACAAATGGCATGCAGAGAATTTGATGAAAAATCCTAAGCATTATGCTCAACCATTAAGATATCTTGGTCCTAAAATGATCACTAATATTCAAGAAGGATCAGGTGCTAAAATATTTTACAACACATTGGTGAGAACAAATAAAGACCAGCTTATTAAGTATGGCGTGATATCCGAGGTTTCATTGGTGGAAGATTTGTTAGATTGGAACGATATGTACTTGGCAGGGAGATTGCATAAACCAGTTAAAGTATTGATGGAACCCGACGAGAATTCTCAGTTACGTACTGCACTGGTACAGAATTTGCATTCGGCTGTACATGCAGCTCTGTTGTTGCTGCCTGAGCATTTTACGGAAGTTGACTTTTTTAAAAGGATCACCAGCCTATCCTACCACGGCGATTTTCGAATGATTTTCGGTGAAAATAAAGATAAGATCAGCAACATCGTGTTGCCACAATTGCATCATTTCAAGCAGTTATACAAACCGATCTTGAAACATTTTGATAACTATGTAGATATTCCAAAGTCAGATGACATGATTGTCACATGTAATCAGGATACCAGCCCGGCGACTAAAATCCATCATTTGAATCATTTACCTAGAACACCCCAGATTAAATTAGTCAGAATGTGGTCCCATGGGCCAAGATCGAAAGACACAGAAGATTGTTTGCGTGCGATCGCACACGATCCGGAATGTTGTGATTTATTGAATCAATGTTTGAAAGAGATCGTTTGGAGGTCTAGCGTGACGCAAAGTCTCAAGGGAATCGTAACCGCAGGGCTTATAAAATCCGTTAAGTACAGCGGCTCCAAGATAATTAAGATGTTACAGTCCAATTCGTTACCCAAGCCTGATCCAAATAAAATCAATAAAATCGTTGAGACTGTTGTAAAGAAGACAGAGTCTAAGAACACTGAGAAACGCGTCGAGTAGTTATGTCGAGTAATTCTTTTAGACAAAGCTAATTCAGTCTTGATATATATGTATATACACGTACATTTGTAAATTCTTATACGAAGCCTGTATCACAAATAAAATGGATAGTTACACTTAACAATGTATTTTATTTATAGGTATTATTTGATACCTTTAATTTGTGGTATACGCTCGTAAACGGCAAAGACTTTTCTTCTAAAGAATTGTTTCATTGACAGATAGAATGAAACTTTTTGCTTTAAATTAAATTCAATCAAAATTACATATTATCGCTAGAATCTAAGATCTCTTACTAGATAGTCGTATTTTACACACATTATACAGAATATTCCAATTTAATGGCAAATATATCAAAAAATACGTAAAATAAAAAAAGTTTTAGATGAAAGTGAAATGGATTCAAAGGAGACGTATTTTGGTCACGTTTTTTTCTAGATGGAGGCTTCAAAAAGATATGAAGATCATCTCCTTTTTGAAATGGAATTATATAAAATAATTAGCACTTTATAAGTGGCTATAAAATTCAAAACAAAAATTATAAAAGAAGTATTGAACCACAACGCAAGATGTCAAATGCAAAATTATTAAATTTAATTCTCAAAATAATATAGTTTATAAACGTTTCGACCTTAATCAGGCCATCTTCAGTATATACAATAAAAAATTATTGTACAATTTAATATAATTCCGCTTTATTTATGTCGTAGAATTCCTTAAGTTATCTGATTGAATCTATTGGAATTAAATTAGATTGTAATAATTTTTTTATTGTACACTGAAGATGGTCTGATTAAGGCTGAAAATGTTTATAAACTACACTACTCTCAAAAAAATTAAAGGATCACTTGTTTCATTTTGCAAAAAAAAAAAAAAAAAATAGGCAAACCGAGATAGAATAACTTCGTCAAAAATCATTGTATCGAGATTTTTAAAAAAGCATTTTGAAATCTCTATTTTTCAGACCTGTACTTAAAAAAACCGTATTACTGATATTTCATAAAGTTACACAAACATAAATGAAGATGCATCAAATCTCAAAATTTTTTTACGATATTTGTGAAGTTTTACGGTGCTAAGTAAAAATAGTGCACAAATGCGGTTTACAACTTTTAAAAAATTGAATCTTTACTTTTTTAATTTGCTTTTTTTATTGAGCTCTGTACGATTTTTTTCACCGAGTTATTTAACGTTGAAGTAAAAATGACCCTTTTTTCTAATATTAAATGACTTTAATTTTGTTGAGAAACTGCAGGCAAATTCAAAATAAAATAGCTTCGTCAAAAAAATCGTATCGAGATGTTTAAAAAACATTTCAAAGCTTGAAATCTCTACTTTTCAGATCAATACTTCAAAACACGGTCTTGTGTAACTTCACGAAGTATCAGTAAGTTTTTTAAAGTACCGGTCTAAAAAGTAGAAATTTCAAGCTTTAAAATGCATTTTTAAACATCTTGATACAATAATTTTTGACGAAGTTATTCTATCTCGAAATTTGCCTATTTTTGCAGGATGGAACAAGTGATCCTTTAATTTTTTTGAGTAGTGTATATTATTGAGAATTAAATTTAATAATTTTGCATTTGACATTTTGCGTTGTGTTTCAATGTCCATTTTAATTTTTGTTTGGAATTATATATTGTGAGTTATTGTAATACATAATATGATTTTTAATTATTTTATATATAAAAATGTTAAGATAAAAATATCAAGAAATCAATAATTTTAGTACATATTGACATGAAATATTAAACATCTTATAAACTATTAATTTTTTTTGGTAATTGTATCTAAATACTTTTATAAATAGAATAACGAGATGAATCAATTGGTATAAAGAAATCATATAGTTATAAAAACAATATGTAGGTAAAACAAATAATTTTTTAAACGAGCTTTTTTTGTATCTTATATATTTTTTTCAAAACATTTTCCTAGAGCAATTAAAATGGGATACTCTGTATATATTACACATAAATTACATTATAATATATGTACACATTTATCGTTAAAGACTTAACTTATAATGGTTTTGTTGTGATTTCAGCATGTAACTAGACTATGACAGCGATGAATTCCGATTCTGAGAGTCAAGATAGCGATGACGGACGGCGGTTTCGTTTCGAAGCTACGCGCAAGGATTCGGTCGCGACTGTGGATACTACGGACCGAACAAAGACGCCTAACAAACATAAATCATCCCATAGCGAGAGTTATCGGGACAGGAAGGACCGATTCAAACACGAGAGCGGTAGTAAAATCGATGACAAGGATTTCAGACACTTCACAAAGCATTCAAAGCATGAGTTGAGGAACTTGAAACAGGAAGATAGTAAAATTTCGCACAAAGACTATAGAGAAAACAAGTCTGGATTTGTCACGAACGACAGAAGCTCCAGAAATTCCAACGGGGGTGACGCAAGAGAGAGATCGCGTGATTCGAAACGGCAATCGGACAGAGATCGAAGCATCCATCGGATGCAACGTTCGCGGGAACATTCATACGAAAGAAACTATCACGACGAACGAGCGTTGAGTGATAAGCACCGAGGTCGATATTACGAAAGGCACAAACATCGTTCTCGCGACAAGAGTCGAGATAGATCTCATCAGTCCAATAGAGTCAAGTCCTCGAATGACGATTATCGGTCTCGAGAAGATCATGGAAGGTATGATTCTTCCAAAAAGATATCAAAAGAGAACAAATCACAAAATTCAAGGGACTATTCGTCGCCTAAGAACACCGAGCGAGAACGTAGTCACAGTGAGACTCGCTCGAGCGAGAATACTAGGAAGGATTCGTCGATAGAGGCTCAAGACTGCAAGGATTTGGATCTGTCGCAATTTGACGTTCTATCGGAGACCGATGAGAACATGTCCGACAGTCGGGATTCCGAGAGCCGAACGTCGTCTCCGCACTCACACAAGCTGAAAAAACACGATTCCGAAATCCAGTCGGAAAGTTATGCAAAGCGAAAGAACAACGATGAAACCGGCACGAGAAAACGGCAGGAGGAATTAAAGGTAAAAAGAAGGAGTTATGATCCGGCATCTAGTTCCAGTAATAATAATCCTAGTGCCGTTTCAGATTCCTTACTCAACTCCGCATCGACACTCTTGGTAACGAGAGAGGCTCGTATGGACTCTGAGAGAGAAAAGTCTGAATATTGTGAAGAGGAAAGAATGCTTATTTGCGACAGTAATGTCGAACGTTCGAACTTGAAAGAGAGATATTCGTGCTCTAATGCTTCTTCGGAGATACAATTATTCGAAAAGAATATGGATCAAGCCGGATCCACGTATGGTCCGCTTTTACCTCCAGGATTAGCATCTAATGCGCCCGACAGTAATGAACTTAATTCCGAGATGAATATTCTCAATGAAAATAAAATCAACGACGAGGTCGATGGAAAAAATACGAATTTCATTGGACCTCGTTTGCTACCTCAGTTAAACGATTGTCAAAGCATAGAGCGAGAAGATACAACGGATGCTGTTTTCGGGCCTGCACTGCCACCACATTTATTACAGCGACAACAAGAGAAGGATTCGCCGGATAGAATTATCGGCCCTGTGCTACCTGACGTTCTGAAATCGCGTGAAGAAGATTTGGTCGCATCTCCGAAATCCGATGATGATTCTGCGATAGGTCCTCTACCTGTGGATCATCCAGCTCTGAGAACTAGTCGCGTACATGAGCAATTAGATTTAAGAGCACAAAGAATTAGAAATGAAAAATATTCGGAAGAGGTGAAGAAAATTTTTTTCTTTTTTGGATGTCCGTATTTTAATTTTATTGTCTAGTTATTCTGGGAAAAATTTGAATTCTTATTCTTGTCCTCATTATTGGTATTCTTATAAAATTTCTTATATATAGAATAGGAAAATAAATCCACAAATAGATCATATAAAATATTTAGTATAAGACAACTGTCTAACAACTGTCTTGCTATGAATAAATTGCTATTGTGGATTATTAGTTTTGTGATTTCGTCAATGAGAAAAAAGGTATTTGTATTTTAGATGGATATCGGAAATAAACGTGAGGAATGGATGACCGAGTTACCACCCGCTCAAGCTGCTAATCTTGGATTAGGCCCGCGCAAATTCAGGTTTCGCGATGGTCCAGATATGTCGGACAGATCGTGTTGGACTGATACACCAGCACAAAAAGCTCAGAAGCAAATGGACTTGGTAAATATAAGAATATGCTACTACTATACATTTCTGTTTTAAACTACAAACGTGATGCATTCCTGTTACCATTAAGATTTTAGAACGTACAGTAATTTTATATATGTACAATAGATTCTGTTTATTTGAACACATGTTGGAAGATAAGAAAATTCCGATAATTAAATGATTCGGATAATAGAGACTCACTAGCTCTTTTTCTATCTTTTATCAGGAGATACTTATTAATTAATTATAATAGAACCAACGTTCAGAAAACTAAAGTCGACCATGTTGAGCTTCTATTATCCAAATTACAGTGTTCAGATAATAAGAGCTACAATTTGTATAAATGAAACGGAGTACGAACTCGTATAAATGAAGTGCAGATAAACGAAGTTTTGTACTATACTAATGTTATGCTCGTGGCATACTTTTTAGGAAGCAAAAAATTTCAGAGAATCGGAGAAAAAGCATGTAAATGAATATCACAAAAAGGAAGTAGATAAAAGCAGAAAACATGAGAAATCGTTACTAGAAATGCACCAAAGCAAAATTGCCAAGAAAAAGAAGGTAACTTAATTTATCTTTTTAAGTATATATTATATACATATTAAGTATATTAAGTATATATAATGATCTACAAGTTATCAAATTAATTATTTCCATTTGCGTATTTGCATCGGAGTATCCTATATATATATTTTTATTTTTCAGAAGGAGGAAAAAGAAGCAAGACGGACTGGAATATCAACGAGAAGGCCATTTGATAGAGATATTGATTTACAAGTCAATCGATTTGATCAAGCACAAAAAAAGTCTATTCTGTTGAAAGCGCAATTACTCGACGATAGATTCTCACGTGGGCAAATTTAACGGGTTTGAATTGTCATGGGGATAAAATTATGA